GATTTTCTCCGGAACACTTGATTGTGTTTCATCGATCTCATCCATTACCTAAGTGATTAATAAACTCAATAGGTTAATTCATGATGATGCAAGTTGCGGCTGAACACCTTGCATTGACTTCGTTCTGACGCTTGGTAGCTCTCATCTCCTCCGTGTACTTTCTTTGCAAATTCTTTTCGCGTCTTCTGATTCACTAATGATACCTTTGCGGAAATTGAGAGATGTGTTGTGCTGCTCACTACCGTGTCACCGCACGTATTCACGCCCGCCGAACTATTACAGTAGTTCAAGATAAATCTTCCCTTCTAAAACTGAGAGCTGGTCAGATTACTCTGGTTGCCATTTCTGACTGGAACAAGCAATGGTTTAAATGCTTTTACACCTTTGTCAATGCGGTGAAATTTCTCACTGAGTGCCTTGTTTGAAACGAGGTTCCTCAGTACTATGATTAGCTTATTGAAGGAAACACGTGTGACGCAGTGTTCGCGATATCTTGTGGCATCACTGTCGTGGCATCAGGGCTACATGAAAGTTGAGAGCGCATGTTGAACTGGGAAATGACTTTGAATTTTCTACTTTTGGTCATAATCTAGGCTTCCAGACTGTTGATAACCTGCACCTTTGCAGCACTGCCGCTCTTAGGGTCAAACTCGTAACTCAGCCACTCCTTCGCGAGTCGTCTGGCAAGCTCCTGACCAATCACTCTCTCGCCCATACACAGAACCTGGGCATCATTGCTCAGAATAGAGCGCTCTACACTGAAGCTGTCGTGTGCTGTTACGGCTCGGATGCCCTTGACCTTGTTGGCGGCGATGGCCATGCCGAGTCCAGTGCCGCAGATCAGAAGGGCACGATCGGCCTTGCCGTCAGCGACCATCTGTGCAGCGGCGGCGGCTCTGTGAGGGTACGCAGTCTTGTCGGTGCCCTCGTGGCTACCAACATCCTCGACAAATTCTACCCTGGCATCCTTCTCAAAGTCTGCCTTGATCGTGTCTTTGTACTTGATGCCGGCCTCCTGTTCTGAGGGGTTAGCGGGGTCTCATACCACGAAGGATACGGTTTCTCTTACGTCGCAGCCGACGACAATGCGGTACTTCTGGCCCGGGTTGCTGCCCATTTTGATATGTTTTGATGATTCCGAGTGTAATAAGATAGGCAGGAGTGTGATGGGCGATGATAGTGCAAGATGCAGTTGTTCCTTGCTTGTACTGTCGATGATTTCCCAACGATGTTTCATCCAAGACGGGATTGGGAGCTGTTTTGAAGCAGGAGAGGCAAAACGCGTCACCTGGCTGGTCGGATAATCGCACACCAGACCCGACGTGGCGGAAGAGCGGAAAATCGGCAGTTGAAGGGGACCACACACATGCCTGCACAGAGTAGCAGTATGAATCACACTTGCGGAAGTGTGAAGACGGGGTAGGCCAACCCCAGCTGATCTCTCATTGCGGAAATCCGGGGTGCAGCAGGCCGATTGCCCGCTAGATCCCTTGTTCACAACCGACCCCCGCACAGCCCTTATGATATTACCCACCCGTCATCCTACATTTTGTCCCAAGTTCAGTCCGAACGAACTCCTGTCAGGTCATTCCATCTCCAATCCATCTGGTCATCTTTCAGATCATCTCAAAGCTTCCCCCTATTGCCAAATTCACACTTCCCTCACCCTAGACATCAGACACCATGTCAGACCGTCACATCTTCCAGTCCGCAGATGGACTGGTCGACAAGTGTCTCAGAGGTCTCATCGCCTACAACCCCTCTTTGGGTCTTGACGCCTCCAACCGCGTCGTCTTCGATACAACTTACGACAAGTCCAACATCAGCATCATCTCTGGCGGAGGATCAGGTCATGAGCCAGCGTGGTCCGGCTACGTTGGAAAGAACATGCTTGCTGCCTCCGTCGCCGGTGACATCTTCGCCAGCCCTTCAGCAAAGCAGATCTTGGCCGGCATTGAGGCTGTCCCTTCAGACGTTGGCACTCTCCTCGTTGTCACGAACTACACTGGTGACTGCCTTCACTTCGGACTCGCCAGCGAGAAGGCCAGGAGTAAGGGACACAACTGCCGCATTATCATCTGCGGCGACGACGTCTCGGTTGGCAAGAAGAAGGGCAGCTTGGTTGGCAGACGTGGTCTTGCTGGCCAGCTCGGTGTTCTCAAGGTCACATGCGGCGCTGCCGGTGTAAAGGCCGGCTCCTTCGATGAGATCTACCAACTTGGTGTTGCGGTTGAGAATGAGATCGTCTCCATCGCAGCTACCCTCGACCACTGCCACGTTCCTGGACGTACCGAACACGCCCAGCTCAAGGCTGACGAGCTGGAGATCGGCACTGGTCCTCACAACGAGCCTGGCTACAAGAAGCTTTCCCCAAGGCCATCCCCTCAAGACCTGGTCGACCAGCTCTTGGAGTACTGCTTGAAGGAGGACGACCCCGAGCGATCCTATGTCAAGTTCACTCCCGGCGATGAGACCATCCTTCTGGTCAGCAACTTCGGCGGCATCTCCTACCTGGAGCAGGGTGCGCTGGTTGACGAAGTCCTCCAGCAGTTGGAGCAGAAGTGGAACGTCAAGCCAGTCAGAGTGTTCGCTGGTCCCCTCGAGACATCACTCAATGCGCCTGCATTCTCACTGTCCCTCATGAACATCACAGCAGCCTCGAAGAAGTGCTCCTTCTCAGCTGAGCAGATCAAGGAGTTTGTCGACATCAAGACCAACACCCACTGGGAGTCCATGGCCGGAGCCCAGACCGTACGACGCGATCGCAAGTCCCAAATCGTTCACGCAGCCCCCGAAGAACCCAAGACGATCGATGCGAACAGCGACGTGAAGATGGACCCCGCGATCCTGAAGTCCATGCTGCGTGCGGCTTGCTCTGCAGTGATCGACGCCGAACCCGACATTACAAAGTGGGACATGATCATGGGGGATGGAGACTGTGGAGAAACCCTCCAGACTGGCGCGTCACACCTCTTGGAGGCACTGGACAAGAAGGGCGTCGCCGATGGCGGCTCTATTGTCGCTGTCTTGCATGAGCTGGAAGACATTGTCGAGAGCAAGATGGGTGGCACACTGGGCGGCATCCTGGGCATATTCTTTGTGTCCCTGTGCAACTCCGTCAAGGAGAACGCGCCCCTTGCCAAGTCCAAGGGCATCCTGTCTGTCTGGCAATTGGCCCTCGCTTCCGCGCTGGAGCACCTCAGTCACTACACCCCCGCGAAGGTGGGCGACCGCACAGTCCTCGACGTCCTGATCCCCTTCGTGGAGAGCATCAGGAACGGAGGCTTCGACTCCGCCGTCCAGGCGGCTGTCGACGGCGCGGAGGCAACTAGAACCGCAAAGGCAAAGCTCGGTCGGGCGACGTACGTTGGAAGCACGACGGAAAATGGAGGTGCCCAACCCCCCGACCCCGGCGCGTGGGGTGCGATGGTGGCAATCAGGGGTTTGCAGACTGGCTTGGCGTAATTGGTACGCAACTCGGATATTCAAAAGTATTAGCGATTAATAGAGTAAGATTCCTCTACTTTTGTGCCTCCCTCTCAACAATCATTCTGACATCAGTCTGTAGATAGGTAGCGGCTGGTGTTTCCCAATTCCAATTGTTGAACCAAAAAAGATGGACACACAAAGATGGAGCTCCCGGCGTGTCACGTAATGACCAAATCATCCAAGGCGAAGAAAGCAAGCCCAACGTCTCCGAGATCCCCGTTGATGCGGAAAAGGGTTTGCCACACTTCCGCCGCCTTCGTGTTGAGTTTTTGATACACACCTGACCTCACGTCTTATCCCGAACAGAGTATGCCGCGTGGGGCAACCCCTCCCCAGACCCCGAGCATCCTCGTTCGAGACCAACAAGTGCCCGAGTGGTTGTTTCTCGGTGATTTCAGGCTGTTTGCGCCGGATTACCCGATTAGGAAACCCGAGGGCTGAAGCCGGTGTGGACGCCCGGGATCCGTGGTTGGTTGGTTCATCTTTCCCGCCTGGAACGGCCTTTGAGCTTGGGTGGAGAGGGGTTCCATGCGGAGTCCGGGGTGTTCGCGGGGCATTTGGAGGGAAGACGGGGTCTCGTGAGGCTCCTGTGATCGGACGACCCACCGGGGAACTGGGAATGTTGAGTCCATCTCCTTATTTATGGGTTTTCTTGGGCAGCTAAACCAAGTCTAGCAGTTCCACCATGAGACAAGTCTGACCAGATCGTGCATTACACTCCGGACGGATGCTGATTCAGGGTCCAAGGGGCAAAAGGGGTTGAGTTGACAGCAGCAGCAATAATCACAAGCGAGCACAGCTGATGAGGAGCTCTGAGCTTCACACAGAACAGCTAGCTGTGTCTTTGAAATACGGATCCCTGGATTGTCACACGCCCAATACTTCGCCTCGTTTATCCACAATACCGGTGGACCGGACAGTTCACCGCGTTCTGGCCAGAACCTTACCTTGAGCCATCCATGGCAACGTCACCCATCCATCCATCAGTGCTGTTTTGTTGGTTTGTGCCCGTTGGCTGGGCTGTTATGCACTAAACCAGGGGAAGATCCTGCGCTTACACCTTCCCCTCACATCGTCAACTTTTTTTTGGCAGCACGATCGGCATAAACGGACGCGGTCGGTCGACACCCCGAACCGAACCGTGACGTGCCCCTCACCTCACGATGTTTTTTGCTGTGTGCAATTGGGGGAGCTTTTCTGGTCTGCAGCCGTTTTTGACTCTTAACCTTTGACGAGTATCAGCGCTTCTTTGCTCTCACAACCACCTAGGTATTTACGATACCCCATTGCTCGAAACAACGATGCCCCCCGACCGACATGCGAGCCGAGCCAGTTTTGCATGCACTCGATGCAAAAAAGACAAAAGACGATGTGATATTTCCCAGGTTTTGAGTGAAGGGGGAAGATCTTGCACCCTATGTCGGAACAAGAATGAGAAGTGCGAGGTGCGGTATGGCGAGGACAAGCGCAGCCATCGCCGACCGAGCGAATCCAAGGCACTGCATCAGCGAATGCAGGCCCTGGAAGAGTTCGTGAGGAATGCCTCCCGGGTTGATGGACAATCATCTGGGATCTTCAAAGACGACGACAGCTCCAGAAGCTTGAGGCAATTCTCTTTTCCAAGCCCTGCGAGCTCTTCTAGTCCTGGTACACACACAAGGACAGTCTCGATGCCCTCTTATGAGAAGCCAGAGACTTGGATCACAACGCCCCGGGCCGAACCTACACCAAGCTCCCTCCGATCTGAGTCGGTCTCGAGCGATCACATCCCATACAGTGAGCCCATGCTAGAGCAATTGAGCTTCCCTTCGGCAATGGATGAGGCCATGCCAGAAGAGGGCGCCGCAGAGAATGATGCATATTTGGGATACACCAGCATGTTTCCTTACTTGGAAGATGATGCTGTTGCAAGAGGTTCCGGAGCCAACGGCCCTGCACCTCTTCCTAATAGACAGCCTTGCGTACCATCTGAAGTACATCCAGAGCCAGAACCTATTGTCGCGCATCTTCTCGATCTCTTTTGGCAGTGGCAGGCGCCTCATTTGCTCATGATCGATCGCGACTTGTTTGTCCGTCATCGGAAGCTTTGGGACGACAGTGGAGGTCAAGGCGACCGCACTTTCTATACTTCGACTCTATTATACGCGATACTTTCGTTGGCTTCGATGATCAGTCTTGACAAGGGCGTTGTGCGTTACTCTGCATCATCTGGCGGACTTGCTGGCGACAATTTTGCGACGAGGGCGCGTGAGCTGCTCGAGTTCGAAGTTGAGCACCCGGCCATCACAACAGTCCAAACAGCATTGGTCCTGGGCTTTAGGTTTGAGGCAGCAGGGAACACCTCTTTGGGCTGGATGTACAGTGGTGAGTTTTCAAAGTCCGAAATGCCTTCGCGAGACACTGACCAAGAATCCGTTCTTCAGGCATGGCGTCCAGGATAGCAAGTGACCTGAGGTTGCATCTTGACTGCTCAAAAGCGTTGAGGTCTGGGAGAATGAGCTCTGATGAGGCAAAACTGAGGCAAAGAGTATTTTGGGCATGCCATCAAGCAGATGTGTAAGTGCAAAGGAAAACTATGTATGCTCCTACCTTTCTGATGCTAATACTCTCTCCCAGTCTACTAAGTGCTTGTCGTGGGCGTCCACCTACATTCAGAGATGACGACATTACTACATCTATACCAGAACGGCAAGTCGAGAAGGAAGTTGGCGGCGATGAAGACTGCTCTTTATGCTATCTCCATGCGTCTTCAACTCTGTCGATTTTGTGTTCGAAAACCCAGACTATGATTTATGGTAAAAGAAACCGACGAACCCCGAGCGAGCTGAGATCGACAGCTCGGCGATTGCATGAAGAGTTGTGGCAGTGGCATCGGATATTGCCACAAAGTTTGAAATGGTCTGGTGACGAAAGCGTTAGAACACCTCCGGAAGTCTTGAGCCTGCAGTATGTTTCCCAGAGCTTGCTTTACTACTAAGGAAAGAGGGGCTAACCAAGGTGTTGACTCAGCATGAACTTCTACTTCAACCTCATAATGCTACACCGACCTTTCATGAACCTCTCTCGAGTTACTGCAGATCTCAACATGAAAGATTCGACCTCTTTCAGCTCATCAATTGCGTGTTGCAAAGCTGCGACAAAAATTTCGAAACTAGCTCTTGCCCATCGCAAGTTGTACAACATCAAGCAGATGCCACCATCTGCAATTCACTTCATTTTTATTGCCGGAACAATACATCTCATCGCCAGCCGCCTGAGCGGAGAGACACCCCATGAAAACCTTCTGCAGAGCTGTATGGAAATGCTTTCAGAGTTGAGCAACTCGTATCCTACATCAAAGAGGGCGCACCAGATTCTACGGGACATGACAGAGAACTGGAAAACCTCAGAAAAATCCAAATCTAGCATCCAGGCTGTTCACCATAGCCATACATTACATGATGTTCTAGGGGAGACCACAGGTCAAGGATCGGATTTCCAAGTTGCGGGCACCATAGCTAGCAAGGCTGGGGAAGTAAAATCAGACATGGCCAAAAGTCAAAGATGCTTGGATGCGTCATCACCTACTGACATCCTTCACGACGTCAACCTGTATGATCACATCACACTTGGGCAAGGCGGTAACAACTGTGGTTTCCTGGGCTCCGGAATCGAGTGGCTTTCGGATAACGACCTTTTCGAAAGCATTGCCGGGGCCGACAGCTCTTTTTCATACGCATAGGAGCGATCATAAAATTTAACGAATATGTCTTTGTAATGTGGCCAAGGCCTTTGTAGACAAAAGAAAGTCGTCTAAATTTAAGAGGATGTCGTGTTATGAAATCTACCAAAACGCCGTGAGAACAATGCCCCAAATTCAAGAGAATCAGATCCATTGTCATAATGGATGCGTATACACCAGACTCCCTCTCCCGGATAATCAATAAACGCCCACCCTATTCAATCGTCTCAAATATACAAGCCTCTTCGCATATCAATGGGGGTTTTGTCTCCTCATGAAATCGATCCAGTACTGAACGTCTGTAGAGCTAGAGCCTCCGTTACTTGCATCGCTATCAGATTCGTCTGTGTGCCCTTGCCACCGAGCTTCTTCGAAAAACGAGCTGCTAGAGGTGTCAGTCGAACCATCATATCCTATAAAAGGGACGCTTGTATCGCTCGAAGTCGGGTTCACGGTGCTGTTGAATGAGTCAATTGATGGAACTCCTGAAGGCGGATAGACGGTGCTGTTGAAAGAGTCAATTGACCCATTGCCTGAATCCGTATAGACAGTGCTGTTGAACGAGTCAACGAAGTGATTGCTAATTTGAGGCGAAGTGGAGGAGGCATTTGAGTTGGGCGGACAGTCAAATGGCGCGTTCCACGGACGTTGATTGTTGGCGTCAAACTCCAGTCGCTGCAGGGCAGGGTATTGGGACATAAACTGTTGTTGCATGTTATTGGCTTCACTGCGTAGAGTCGAGAAGACATTTAAGAACGTGGCTGCGTGGTGACTGGAAGTTGTCTCATGGATTCTTCGCTGCTCCCGATACTCCCGGCTGGCCTCTTGGGCGACCCACTGACGTAACAAGCCATTGGAGGGGTTCGCAATCCCTGGCCGAAGGTCCGGCATCAAGACTGTGTTGACAATGAAGCTGTTACGCGAGTGGCAGGTGTTGCATAGTCCACCCTCATTAGGGTTAGCGGAAAACGAAGTCGGCGGTGGTACATCAACCTGGTTTAGAACGTAGACCCGGAATGGTACAAAGCAATCTTCGCAATCCAAAGGGCGACGGCAGTAAGGACATGGGAGTGGAATGAAGTCTGCCTGCTGCCTCCACTCGGTCAAGCAGTCAAGGCCGATGAGGTGGCCGCAAGGCAGAACGGCGGCCAGTTCCTGGTGATCGTGAAGGCCGGCAGGGTAGTGTTCGGAGCTGAACGGCACCGAAGTAAGATTGTGGCAAACACAGCAAGGAATCTGTATCTCGGTGTTACGGTGCTCCTCAGACGATCCGTTGACGTAATCCCGGTGAAGTCTCTCAAAGTGAGGTCTGATGTTGGGCCAATAGTCGTCTCGGATGATTGTATGCTGCGGTGCATTGTTTTGTACGATGTTATTGTCGTTGTCGTTGCTGTCGTTGTTGTCGTTGTTGTTGCTGTTGTTGCTGTTGTTTGCGAACTGATCGATTGCCGTTGGTCCTCCTGCAATTTTCCCGTGGTCTTCACCATGATTTTCATCACCATTCGCCTGCGGACCTTCCTCGCTGTCGGTCATGTGGTCATCCTCGTCGGCAGGACCATTGGGTTTCTGCGGCTCATCATTGTCTTGATCTTCGTCGGGGTCGTTCATCTCGTCATCACCTTCGTTGTCCTTGTTATCGTCCTTGCCTTCGTCTTTGTCTTCGTCCTGATGTTCATCCTGGTCTTCATCCTGGTCTTCATGGTCTTCGTTTTCATCTTCCTCGTCGTTTTCACTCTCCCCTGAGTCACCCTCCTCAAGACGGGGCTTCTTCGGCGACGGCGGTGGTGACTCGGAACGACTACGACTGCGCTTGCCATTCGAATTGATCTCATCTTCATCGCTTTCCCCCTCGTCATCGCCATGATTCTCAACATCGCCATTGTCTTGACCTTCGTCGTCGTTGTCACCGTTCTCGTCGGCGTTATCACTGACGTCTTCGTTCTCACTGACCTCATCGCTCTCGTCCTGCTCGCCTTCCTCCTCATCGTCATCATCTTCTTCTTCTTCTTCTTGCTTCGCAGCCTCAGCTGCCGCTTCTGCCGCTGCCTTTGCTGCAGCTTCAGCTTCTGCTTGCTCCCTTCTACGTTGCGAACGGGTCTTCATATGGTGAGTGGATGCGGCGGGCGGATTTGTCTTTCTGGGAGCCATTTTGATGTCAGTCGAAAGGTTGCTTGCCTTCTTGCGAAGATGGTCCGTGTCTTATGACAAGAGCTGACTTGAATCGCTTGTGCTGGTATAATAAGTGATTTGAGTGTGCCTCCGGGGCCGACTTTGAAGCGTCTTTGGTAGTATTGGTGGTCCTTTCGAGCTTGTCGTTGTTGTGGAAAAAATTGTCCTGATGAGTGTGAGGGTGATGGGATGGGCGGGAATGGATCAATATCGCTCATGGCAAGTTAAGTACCAGAGGCGCAAGTTGCTTGGATTTCATCTTATTGAAATTGTTCGTCTAACACTTTACGCCATAAAAGAAACTATCTGACGTTGTTGAGGAACAATCTCATTGAGACGCGCTCTCCAGACAACTCCCAGACAATCCCATTGTGATTTCTCTTTGACCTACGTAACCCAGATTCAATAAAGATGGTTGTGAATTGTACAATGATAGTGTTGTGTTCGATGTTCTGCTGAGTTCAACAAAGCAATTGAGTAAGGAGATCCTTTTGTCGAGGCAAGACCTGGAATGTCTTTGTCAACCGTTATTCATCAACCACGAGTGTCCGGCGAGCCGAAGCCCAGCCGACGAAGGGTCTCGCTCCGACATCTTTCGCCATGCAATTCGGATATGAGTTCAATCTACGCGGGCGACGGCGCATGAGCAGGAAGTGAGCCTATTGGCCGTCGGTCGTCCCCCACATCGTGTTCCCAATGATCCCGGCCAACAACGGAGCTAAGCCCACCACACTCTGCGATCTCGGCGCCTAATTCGCGCGTTTATTCAACATTAACTCTCTTTCCAGCCCGATCAGGGTCCACCGGGCAAGTGGGCGACAATATTACAGGCCGAAGCCATCTTATCAGATCGTCTGATTATTCTTGACCTTGGTTCAGCTGGCGCGGGCGACCAGGAGGCATATTTGGCGGGAATGGAGATTCTGGAATCCATTACATGATTTTCCAGCGTGATCGGTCGCAAGGTGCTTCCTCTGAAAGGGTCTTGGACGAGCAAGCATGTTCCTGCCAAGACTTGGCCGGCGAGCTTCTGCCTCGACCTTCCCGATTGAGGGTTACATCGAGCCAAGATAACACCATTCTTCAGTGGAATACCTTCTTGCCTGCAGATATTCAATATGCAGCTTCCACGACTAGGGACTTGCACGCTCTCGCATTTGTCACTCGCCGATGCGTCGGCCGTCAAGCGCCGAGATGCTGCGAGCATGGCATATATATTGACCTGCCACCGTGCACCAACGGAAGAGCTTGAGACAGGAGGAGTCACTTCACATCCGTCTGACTCTTAGGTCAAGCTTCCTACGGTTGATTCAAGATGCGTTCGACTTTCGGTTCCCTGGTGGTCTCGCTCCTCTTGAGCTCCACAACCTTCGCAGCCGATGTACCCGCTGTTGCTTTGGGTGACAAGAAGCCCTTCTCGCCCCCCAGCCGACGATTCGCAGTCCAGTTCTCGACAGCCGGTTCCGCAAGATTCAGAAAGCGTGACGGGACTCCCGTAAGTGTGAGAATGCCATGCGTAGACTTCATGGCTGATGAGTACAGGACACCGAGGGCTTCTTCGAGAGTCTCCAACTCACCAACAACACCGCCAAACCCGCCTTGAACTTCACCTCGGAGATCTTCCACGGCGCCTCATTCGACCTGCTCAACCACACTGCCACCTCCCTCCAAGAGATCGAGGAGCTCCCCGAGGTCGAGAAAATATGGCCCGTCTCCGCCATCTACGCACTCAAGCCCAACGCATCGGACATCATGTCCGAGCCGGAGGCGAAATGGGACCCTCACGTGCTGACCGGAGTCGACAAGGTGCACAAGCTGGGCCATTCTGGCGAGGGTGTCGTCGTAGCCATCATCGACACGGGCATCGACTACAACCACCCCAACCTCGGCGGCGGCTTCGGTGCCGGATTCAAGGTCGAGGGCGGGTACGACCTGGTCGGTGACGACTATGAAATCGGTGGAGAGTATATGCCCGATGACGACCCGATGGACTGCGCCGGCCACGGAACTCACGTAGCTGGTATCGTGGCGAGCTCGCATGAAGACCTGCCCGGTGTCGCGCCTGATGCCAGACTGAGGATCTACAAGGTTTTCGGTTGTGGCGGAAGCAGTATGGAGGATGTTATTGCCCAGGGCTTCATCAAGGCTCATGAGGATGGCGCTGATATCATCTCTGCTTCGCTTGGCTCGAATGCCGGGTTTCCTGAGAACATTCTTGCGGTCGTGGCCTCGAACATTCAGGCCAAGGGGACTTTTGTCACCGTCGCTGCTGGCAACAGTGGCGAGATGGGTCCTTTTTACACAAGCAGCACCGCCAATGGCTTCGGTGTCACTGCTGTCGGCAGTGTTGAGCATACGCAGACTGCTGCATTCAAGGTTACCGCTCGCTCCAGTGGCAACGAGACCCGTGAGATTCTTTACGTGAGCTCCGACACCGCTCAATGGTCCCGCAACGGAAGCTTTCCTGCCCACTTCCTGGACCGAAACTACACCGGTCTTGACTCCTGCGACGTTTGGGAGTTTCCGGATGTTTCTTCTGACAGTGTCCTCATTCTTCCCCGGAGTACTTGTATCTGCGAGTGCTGGCAAGTCCTTGACTCCAACCTCTTCGGCACAAGCGTCAAGTGGGTGTTCTACTACAACTTCGAGAATGCCCCGTGGGAAATCCCCAACCGCGGGGTCTACAATCCCGAAGAGCAACCACTTGGGTTCGGCCTCATCAGCTACGAAGATGGACAGTGGCTCGTCAAGCAGCAGGAACTCGGCCGCAAGGTCGATTTTGAGTTCATCGCCAACGGAGGCCAGGCCGTGGGTATTCCCGGAGTAAACTCCGAGTCCATCGCTGGTGCTATTGACTTCTTCTCGTCGTGGGGTTTGACGGTAGACGGACGTCTCAAGCCTGAGATCTCTGCACCGGGTGAGTACCTTCATTCAGTATGCCATCGTGAATACTAATGTTGTCCAGGTGGATCTATCCTGTCTACTTACCTCACCTCTGAAGGCGGATGGGCTGTTCTGTCTGGAACAAGCATGGCAACCCCATATGTAAGTCACTCCCTCATCGCGATGTCAATATCAATGCCTAATTATTATGAACAGATCGCCGGTGTCGCAGCCTTGTACTTCTCCACCAACGGTGGCCGCACGAGCATCGCCGATGCGGGCAACACTGCCCACCACCTGATCACGTCAAGCGGAAATCCGGTGGCTCACCACGATGGAAGTGGTTCCCTCGCGTAAGTTTTCCCCTCTGTGAATTCTCAACCAAGCTAACGAATTCAGACCCATCCCGATGCAGGGCGCAGGCCTCGTCGACGCCTTCAAGGTCATCACATACAAGACCTCCATCAACCCCGCGGTCCTCAACCTCAACGACACCGACCACTTCCAAGGAACCCACGAGGTCACCATCCAGAACAGGGGCAACGAGACCGTCACGTACCACATTGCTCACCAGGCCGGGTCTACAGTCACCACCAAGCCCGACGGCGATCCCGTTGTCGCCTTCCCCCCGGTTCCGTACTCGTCCAAGGATGAGGATCTCGCCACCGTCACGTTCTCTGCATCAATCCTTGAGATCGCTGCGGGTGCAACTGGCACATTCACAGTGACCTTTGTCGAGCCCGCCGGAATCGATGCCAGTCTCTTCCCTGTGTACGGCGGCTGGATCAACATCATCGGCTCCAACGATGAGGCTCTCCGCGTTACCTACGCTGGTACGTTGCCCTTGAATACTCCTTCCTTCATGTTGAACGGGATTAACATCCAACCCGCAGGTATCAAAGGTAGCGTCTACGGCAGCAACATCTGGGCCGAAGGCTGGATCGACCCCGTCGTCCAAACCCCAGACTTCGTCCTCGTCAAGGAGAACGACACCTTCAAGATGACAATCGAGGACACCTTCACCATCGACTTTGACATTCTCTGGCCCACGCGCGAGTTCTCCTTTGACGTACGCCCCACACCCCATTTCTGCACCTCACAGACCTTGAACTAACACAGCCCCAAAACAGCTCGTTGACCCGACCTGGGAGCCCAGCGACTGGGCCTACCCCTTCGTCCCAGGCCAGAACAAGTACATCGGCTCCCTACAGCACTACAACCTCATCTCGGACGCGTACTTTGACGCTCCCGTGCAGCAGTACCCGCGTCTGCCGTCCAGCACGTGGTGGCCGAGCGGAAACTACTCCCATGGAGGTGCGGTCGAGAGCGGCGAGTACAAGATTTTGTCGAGGGCGTTGAGGACGTATGGGGATCATCACAATGTCAGTGATTGGCAGATTCGGGTGTCTCCTAAGATCATTGTAGACAAGAACAAGGCCTGATAGTAGTGTAATGTCGCGTTAGCAATGGGACTGACTGTATCTTGTTGTACTGACTATCCTTTTATACGTCCTATGTGATATGACTACTTGACGACAATGAAGATCGTAGCATAGGCGACAACAATGCTGACTGCATCCTACTCACCACCGCGACTTACACACATCCATGAACCCGTCTTCAAGCCGGATCAGTCTCCGCCTCATCCACAACAACCTCCTTTTCCCTCACCCCCCACGCCTCCGGCCCGATATACCTCTTTGGCCAAATATTCATCGCCGTCTTCAACCCTTCCGCCAACGGCAAACCCGCATGCACAACCCTCTCATCCCCCGTCCCATTCGCATGCAAATTCACCCAAAACACCGCATTCCCCCTGACCGGCTTAAACGCCAGCCCGCCCTTCTCAAACCTCCTCCACGGTCCATCCTTCGCCTTGTCCTGCGGCGCCACCGCCTCCACCTTTGGAAACCACGTCTCCCCGCCCACGCACTCATCTTCCAGAATCGCAAAGAAGCTCGCAACCCGGTTCCACCTCCTCTCCCGCCCAGTCGCGCGGTCCGGCTGGAAGGTGTCGTACCAGTCGTGGTGCACATTAAACCGCTGCCCCGCGGTATACCGCACCAGCTGCGGCGGGCCCATCTCGTCCCTCCCCGGCGCGAGCGTCGTGCCCATGAAGCGCTCCGCGCGCGCGAGCACGCACTGTACCGCGGCGTCGTCGAGCGGCAGCCCCGCGGAGGAGGACGTGCGGTCCGGCGTGCCCTGGCGGCGGCCGTCCTTGTAGACGTACGAGGGCTTGAAGGCGGGCTCGCCGGCGGCGAGGAGGGCGGGGATGTCGGCTTCGGAGAGGAAGTTGTGGATGTAGATCACGAGGGGGTCGAGGGAGACGAGCTGGGTGGTGTAGTTTTGCGAATGGCACTGGAAGGGCTCGGCGGCGGGCGTGGAGGAGTTTGAGGCAGTTTGGAGGAAGGGCAGGACGTCGGTGAGAACTTTGAGGGATGGTGATGGCAGGTTGAGCGTTTGGAGGTGTGGGAGGGTGATTGCGACGAGGCCTGTGTAGGCGGAGAGGCCGAGGAGTTTGGTGATGAGGCCGGTCATGGTGGTGTAAGTGAATGTGAGCAATTGACCCAACGGACAGACTCCAGAACGGTGAGCAAATGTCACGTCATTGAGAATTAGGGGACCATTGTGTTCAAATATCCTGCTCGACAGGTCATGTTCACATTGGACATGTGCCGGTATCCCGCGCACGCTTCAGATAGATCAATGGAGCATCCTCCTCCGAATGTGCGGAGAATCTATCCGCGGGCCGGCTGGTTGGAGGTTGTGCCAAGGGCGCCAAGGGTTCCCTGCCATCCGACTCCGCATTTCGTGTTGACGGTGCATTCCGAGGTAAGCTCCTGGGTGACTGACAGAAGGAAATGCTCTCATGTGATTGACGAATTACTTCGCAGTTACGTAGTATACAGGTGAACAATGCTCCCCCAGCAAAATCGCTGCCAAACGGCCCAACGCTGTCCCAGTCACCATCTTTTGTTCCCAAACGGCAATTATTATACAGTACACTGCCTTGAAAAGGTCAAAAGCACGCGAGTTCTGTTGTTGGATATTCGCATGTTTGCCCCATCAAAACAAACGCGGATATGGCGGCAGTGTCAACAAACGCCCCAAATGTGTCGCGAGAAAATTCCCCATCCAGAGTCGGGAATACCATGCATTGAACCTCTCAATCGCCAATTGCGAACACCTTTTAGATCTGGCTGTGGCGCGCACGCTTGCGGGTGCTTCCTGGCGTTGAGGAAGAAGGGTGAAGCTTCTCGTTGCGCTCCCGCTTGAGCTTCTCGTCGAGGACGCGAGCTGTGAACTGTTAGCAGCAATCCGGTCACAACATACGGGAAAGACATACTGAGCACGTCGTATCCGAACTGGGGGTACTCCAAGCAGAGAGAGCGGAACTCCTCCTCGGCCTCGGCGCGGAGGGTGTGCGAGCGCGTAGCCCAGAAGCTTGCGACGGGGGCGCGGATGGTGGTGTCGTCCTTGCTGGTGTAGGCGTAGACATAGCGGGCGTAGGCAATCTCGCCCTTGGCGGTGGAGTTGACGCAGTGGATCTTGGAGCTGGCGAGCGAGCGCAGGCCGGGCATGCCAAACTTCTCCGCCAGAGTGTAGACGCGCGCGTGCTTCAACAGCTGGGTGCCGTCGGAGTCGACATCGGGTGTCGATGGGTCGGGTTCCAGGGTGCGTGAGCCGGCGACCTTGCGGGGGAAGTACTCTCCGGTATAGAGGTACTCGAGGAAGCAGCCGACGGAGTCGAGCTCCTCGCCGACAAGCTCAACCTGTCGTGGCTATGGCGTGTCATGTCAGTACGGAGTCAAGGCGGCGCATTCGAATACACTCACGCTGCCGTCGTCGCTGAATTGCGCGCATGCCTCCTTGAAGAACGGGCTCTGGACGAGAAGGGCCTGGTGAGCCGTGAGGATGGCCTCCGTCTCGCTCGAACCGACGAGAATAGTCACGACAGGGCTGGCAAGGTAGCTGGCGAAGGTGATGCGCGGCTCGACGGGGTCGCTCTCGCCGCCCTCGGCGAAGGGAAGTTCTTGGGCGTTGTCGCCGGCCTCAGTGCCCTCGGCCATCTCGACGTCGGCGCCGGGGTTGGTGGAGGCCTCCTCGACGACCTCGACGTCGTTGTTGAACTCGTCAGCCATTGCCGCGGTTCGCGATCGTGCGGTGTGTTCGGGTGGTGTAGGTTCTGTTTGATCGGATGATTCGACGCGGCCGTTCTCTCGAATGAGGATCGTCGAGTCAAAGTTTGGTCGATTTGTCGCCTATTCAGTCGCAAAAACGAGCGAGTAAAGGAAACGCGAAAAGGAGCGTGGAAAACGTCAAGTTCGAGATGTCGATTGGCCGGAAACGGGTGATGGAAAGTCGAAGGTCGCAAAATCGGCCGAAAGAAAACACACAAGCCGGGCGCTGTTCCAGGTTTCGGTTTGGGGGAAGCTGCTGCTGCAGCTGCTGCACTGAAGCTTCGGCCAAGGAAGCTGCGCCTGCACGGCCTGAACTGCAGCTTCCCCCTCCGCGAAGGAACCTCACGCATAGACCAGATCAATTGGCGACTGAGGCCACGCGAAAGAGTGGGACATTCCGTTTCCACAGGCAACCTTGACTGCCACAGACAATTGAACCAGTGACAACACCAGGCGCCCCTGCCAAGATGAACAATTGACTCGATAAGACCTTGCGGATAAGGCGAGGGACACAACTTTATCGATAAGGCGACCTACTTTCTAATCTGATATCACTGGCTTCCTCTCAAGGCGCACATGTCATCGCATCTTAGCTCTCTGCAAGGCCAAGTAACGAGGAATGTTTGGATGAAAACTATACTCGATGAGGTAAACAAAGAACCAACGTCTCATAATCACAAGGTAATTCCTTCCCCGAAACGAATACTAAGCGGCAGATTGAAACCACGTTCGTGACTCTCCAACACCGACGCCGGGTATCATGGATTCACGAGATAGATGCATTTCTAGCAGATGAACCCGCCCATTAATGCTTGGCGGAAGTCGCCTAACCCAACGCAAGTGCCAGCAAATGGGTGGCATGTATCGTAACCAGAGTACACCGCCGCAATGCAATTTGCTCATGCTCTCATGCCTTGGAAATGCCACAAATACGCTGCTAAAACAACGGGGTCTTCGCCCCTATTACTTGTCACCTCAGTTCCATTCATTTTCTTTCCCAGCAAACGTCTTGTCTCTGGGTTTGCGGTTCAGCGACAGAGTCGGGGTCGGTTGCAGGATCTTGATCGGTTGCTCCGTTTTGAGCACCTCCCAGTGCTTCTTCAATGTGTCTTCTCGCGCCACCAGCTCGAAGTTTGCGAGGAAGCAGAAGCTGATCTCCAGCCTTGCCAACTCCAATTCGCTGACACCACCAACTTTGGCCATCTTACTGTGCGGGTAGCTGAGGTCCTCCAGCGCCTTCATTGCCACTCTTAACCCGGCCAGCACCAGTCTGTGAGCATTTCGTCTCGTCACAGGGATTGTGCGTTCCTCGACTGCCAGACGGTGAATGTACAAGCTTGTTGCGAGATACACGGCTGTGCTCATGGGGCAAAACCTGTGAATGCGCGTGAGGTACTCCTCGATGCTGATCGGCGGCGGCTTCTTGGAGTAAAACTTGCGCGTGATGGCGCTGTGCTGAAGATTGATTGGCTGCGAGTTTTCGCCAATAATTATGTACGGTTCGGGAGGTCTCGATGGCGGCGGCGGTGTCGGCGTCTGCGTCTGCCTAAGATGGACGCCGTCTATCAACTGCGAGACTGACCCGCTGGAGCCACTTGTGTGAGAAGGCAACGTAGGCCGTCGAGGGGACGATTGAGCCGCTGTCATGGCCGCCTCAGCTTCTTGGCGCATCCTCGCCAGGTTCTTCTCCGAGCTGGTTCGTATCAGCTCCTTCTCGGCCGTCATTCCCCGCATGTTGGGTAGCGTCGGACTCGTTGGCGGAGGTGTGGGTGGGATATCGCCCGTGATGCGAACAAGAGCCTCGATGCCACCGCTAAGGAGCCTCATGGCCGCTCGCGGTGACAGCTTGAAGACGTCGTCATTCTCGGGTGCGTTGGGAGGGCTTTCGGCATCGGTAATGCTCAGCCTCGGGTCCAGCGACGGGTTGGGCGGTGGTGGTAGCTCGGGGACCTCGCTCGAATTCGATTCGGTGGGCTGCAGAGGAGCGCCGTCCTCTGGCTTGGGTGTCATCCCTGCCGTGGTTTGGTGATGCTCCTCAGAAGGGCACCAGGGTCTTGAAGAAGGCGCTAATGACGTCGCAAGGGTGTGGGGGAAGGAGGTCACAGCGGACTCTGCGCGAGCAACAGCAAGCATCTGATTCTTTGGAGGGAGGAAATGTCGCGACGTTCAAGCCCAAGGAGGGCTGTGTGGTTCGTGGTTTCTGGGACTGTTTGCCTCAAAGATCATGGTCTCGAGTCCTGTTCTCGTAAAATCGCAGTCGTCCCTCGGTCTTAGTCGACTTGGCGGGGGTCGGGATAATTCGCGGTTGATGTTGCAGGTGACCCTCGGCTGGGCTGATCGGAGGCGTACCCTCAGGGCCGTTCTGGGACAGGCTGATTAGTTTTCCTGGGGGGAAAAGAAACGGCTGGACCTGGGCGGCCGGTCGTGGTTTGATTAAAAATGGATTTGTGGCCGTTCGCTTGCGGAAGATAAAAGCGACGGAGGTAGGGCAATAATGCTCTGGGCTGTTGTAGTCCAGGGGGGGATTTCGAGGCGGTGGGATAGTATGACGAAGTCTGGCGGCTGAGAATGCAGTCCGGTCTGGGGGTCTGATGCAAGAGATTTGGCTGGCAATCTGGTGCTGTTGCTGTCTTGTCTTGTCTGGGGCGACGTCGTTTGGTGGTGTGTGTGGTTTGGTGGTGGTGGTCTCGACCTTGTCGGTCAAATTACTGGCGGCGCTGGCAGTGACAGCGCGCAATCTTTCTGCTGATCTCGAAGCTAGTGCGGGGAATTGCAGGCATGCAGCAGGCGAAGAAACAGCAGATGGCACGGCATCCCCGTCAAGGTGGAGGGATCGGCGATCGTCTCAAGTCGGGCAGCTGCAAGGTGCTGTAATAATTGGCAAAGAATGGGCAGCAGCGCGCAGCTCGGGAACGAGGAGCGGATAGGCGATTGGAGACTTGGTGAGAGAGAGGCGAGGGGTGCAGAGGGGCAGCAGCTGCAAGGACTGGAGGCTAGAGCAGAACAGCGCAGTTCGAGTGGCGTTGCCTGATGTGCGTGCAGCTGGCGCAATACGATGCAGCGGACGTGGCCGGCGCGGCAAACTGGTGTTCCTGTTACTGGAGATGGGTGATGGGTTGCAAGCGAGAGGCGGACGGGAGCACGATGCAGGGGAGTCGGGATCGGAGTCGGCGTTGACGTCGGGATTGTCGTACGGGCAGACGACGATGGCAAGTCGACCGGGAGCGCGCCTGAAAGGAGGCTGGTGGTTTGTTGGACGGAACAGAGATGTCGAAAAGGGATTGGCGGTGCGTATTCGTGCGGTTCGGTGGAATCAGTTGATGGCCGTCCCACGGGTTGGAGGCAGGTCTCGAACTGGCCGAACAGCTGAGGGGAATATGCAGGAACCGCAGCGCCGGCTCCCGAGTGGCGAACCTGGCAATATGCTGTGTGTATTAATGCGTCTTCTGTGCTGGAGGTACAGATAACGAGCGGCGACTTTGACGGGCGTTGGCTGACACCGGATTCCCGGCGGTCAAAGGTGGTAGAAGAATGCCGCAATTATACGGGACGGGAGAGGGGGAGGGTTAATATCGTGGCAGATTTTTGGAGAAATTTCCGTGTAAGAGGAGCCTTCACTGCTCCGTGAGGGGTCCTGGGCTGGATGTGGACACGGGACTCGAAGAGGCGAGGAGCCGGGTGGAGAGAGAGGCCTGGACTCGGAGGGGCTGCAGGCTGCAAGTCGCAACACTGTGAACTGCAGGCAGACACCACTGATTGGATGTAAGGCACGGAGGGGCAGGACCCTTCACAGTGTTCCTGCTTTCCTTCCATCCATAGATATCTTTTGGAGCAAGTTCTGGCCCAGCTCCAGTCTCTCTTGCCCTTCATTCTTTCCTGGGGTCGTGGGTACCTTGCTCCTAGTGTCCTCCTAGGCCGCGGTTTCCCTCACCTCGGTCATCTCCTTCCCTACCAATGTTCGAATGACTTACACCTAATAATTACGGAACGTTGCGACAGGAAGGACCAAAGAAAGGCAACTGCAATGCACCTGCCATCCACTTTGGGTTTGCACACGCGCCTCGGGCAGGCGGCTGCAATCGTAGCTTTGGGCCAGCGCTGACGCCCAATCCAATGTACACCTATTACCTGTAAGCGCAGACAATACCGGCCATGCCCTGCTTGTGAGGGGTTCCTCCTTCCGAGCAGCCAGGATTGGAGGTCTCCAAGGGCCGATTGCAACTGCTCAGCGGACTTTCCATGTGGTGGTTGCACTTGCAGCAGGGGTCCAATTTATGGCACAGACTCCTTCCTGGCCAGTGCATGCCCCCACCGCCGCGTTCCGTTGGAGGAAGCACCGAAGCAGCAGGCAAGAGGTCATCGTCAGCCGGTGGTGGAGGGGTGCGCCTGCCGCCTTGCACTCGCCATGGTGGGGTTTAAGGGTCTTTCCTTTTTTTTTTTTCATTGTCAACTGACCACTTTTGATGCAGGAAGCTCCAGCCATCCTGCCTATCCCAACCAATTACCCGTCCTAGCCTTGCTGCTTTGTTCTTGCCGTTTGCCCATCGCCATTTTGTGTATTTTTACTTTTCTGCATGTCCACGCGCCGGTACAGACTCAATGCCACTGCTGCCGGGGACCACCTACCCACGATGCTTTCGACAGTGCCAACCGTTGCCAGATTATCGCCCTTCACCGCACCACTTCGATGCGCCGCGCCGTCCGTCAACCATCTCCACTCTCGACATCATCGAGTCAGCCAGGACACCACCTCGCATGCCTCTCGCTGCCGGCTCTTCGGCGAGATCTACCCGCTGGGTAAGGTACTCTTGTCGGGCAAAGAAAAAACCCAGCCACGCCGCCAGATGAACCAACAGAAAAACGCCCGTTTCTTGCTCGCCATGCCGAAAGAGGCCGCCTTCCCGCCTCGTAATATCCGCGCGCCGCTAGAATCAATTTCCCTTCGCCGTGGAAGCTAGAGA